GCGGTGCCCGCGGTGATTGGGCGCCGCGCGGGCCGCCAGTCTGAGCTGGGCGGCCGGGCCGTGCAGGTTTCACTTCGTCCCGCGCAGCCGCCGGGTCTCGCGCTTGTCGGAGGGTCCCACCCCGAGTCGCCGCCGCCGTCGGTGTCTCGCAGTAGCCCGCGCGCCCGATCCCGCTGCCGTCAGCACCACCTCGGACTGCTCGGTTCGCGCCGCTCCCCTGGTCCTCGTCCCGCCAATGTCTGACTCTGACTCTCGGACTGAGAAACGTAAGGTAAAGTGCTCCGGGTCCGGGGAAGCGGGCCGGGGACGGATGGAGGACGGGCGATCGTCCCCGCGGCTCCACTCCTGCTCGCCACCTTCGCACGTGCAGGCGGAGGACGCACGTACCCGTCCCGCCTGTCGCCCGAGCGGCGGCCGCGTGCCCCCCGGGCGGGTCCACCTTGGGGAGGTTCGCCATGCCGCTGCGGGCACTTGGCCGAGGTGCGGCTCGGTACCGAGGTCCGGGAGGCGGTGCGCAGGGCAATGTAGCGGCGCGGGCCCAGCTCGGAGGCGGCGTGGGCTCTGGGCGCCGGACTGGAGCGGGGGCCCTCGCGGCACCGGACGGCGCGCCTGACCGGGAAGCCCGGCCCGCTCCCGAGTAGCGGCGGCGCGGTACAGCGGGTCTTGCGTCCGGCTTTTGGCACGCGGGCCTGTTGCGGAGGGTTTGCGGAACTTTGGTGGCCATTTAACCGACGATACCGGGCTTTTCCTTTTCCTCGCTCAGGCCGAGGTTTCGGGGCAGCTGCTGCCTTCGCCTTCTTGGACGTGCCAGGGGCTTTGCTCGGTATGCGGGCGCCCCGCGGACGGTGCCAACCACACGGCCACGGGCAGCGAGACCGAGGCCCTCCCACCGCCATAGCGCGCGGGGGACGCACTGCGGGCAGCAGAACGTGTCCGGCCTGTGGGGCCGGGACGGCTCAGTGTAGGGTCCTCAGGGCCCTGTACCCGAGTTGGTGCTGGTGGTGGAAGGGTCGTCAGGGTAGGGGTCTGGGTGTGTCCGGGGTCTGCCGTGATTGCGCGTGAACATGCGCGGCGCTGGCCATTGCCGGCCCCTCAGAATTGCCCTGTGTCCGCGGAGCACGGGGAGCAGGATGCGCGCTGCAGCTGGGTCGGGGGCGACCGCTGGGGTCCTCACCCTGCGGGCTTGGGCGGCGGCCGGCGAAAAAGACCGGGGTCTAAGGACAGCCCTGCCGGACGGAGGAGAGCGCGGCTCCTGCTTTGTTTCCAGGTGGCGGCCGGTGCCGTGCCGGCGGTAGTCGCTGAGACGTGCTTGGCGCCCGGAAGGGGCACAGGGGCGGTAGCCGGGCAGCCGCGGCCCCCTAGACCTCCGCCGGGATCCCGCCGCCGCCGGCCGAGCCGCAGTCGGAGGCGAGTTTGTTAACAATCGCTTCGCCTTCGGCGGCCCG